GATTTTTTTTGTGTACAATCTACAAATCCCCCACGATGCAGAAAAAAATTGCACAGCAATGAAGGGGTGAAACTCTAAAACATCTAGAGTGCAAAATCAACACACCAACTCACACACGCGCGGACACACACTTGAACACACACCTATGAATTGGACACTGCAACTATGTAAAATAAAATCAATAATTCAACTACAATGCAGTAAAAAAGTGGACAGCAAGGAAGGGGTTACACTTTAAAACATCAAGAGTATAAAACAGATACATCCACTCACACTTACTTAACACACTCTCACAGACACACACATACAGAATTATACATACTCAAATGAATTGGTATCATATAGCCCATATAGCCAAAATGAGTCAGAAGACTGAAATAAGAGGTTTTTATTTTTATAGAATTTTAGTAACAAACTATTTAAAACAACAAAAAATATAAACCTTGACAAAAAGTAGTCTTTGAGAATGCCTTAATATACATTTAAATCCACAACCTAATAAAAGTAAACAATTATGTATAAAAACAGCTAGGGAATTCACAAGCCTCTCTATAGAGTCCTATACAGGAATCTAGTGGTTACACCATGAAATTATAGGTTTTTCTTTTTTTGCTCTCACCAGGAGGTGCTATTCTGCCTTCAAAAATTGGATTTTAATGGCCTAGTCTCTATTTTAATCTGAAATACTGCAGTAATTGAAAAATAATTGAAAAATATATAAAAATATTTTTTGTACTATTTTCAATGTGAAAAATTTATCATAATTATTGCATAAATATTAATTAGTACCATGAAATTCTCTCAAAATACAAAAGAAAAAATATTATTGAACAAAAATATATTAGATTGATTTTACTAAAGAAAAAAAAAAGTTACATTTCAGGTGTCCGGTCACTTTTGACTGCGAAGACCATGAGTGTGACTCCCAAATGAGGAGCGCAAAAGTCATGTCCCTTAACTATAAACAGCCTACAGTTTATAAAACAAACTATACTGTTATTTTATGAATAATTTCAAGTGGTGCGTTTGTGATTTTACCCTCTTGCGGCTTATTGCTCAACAACACCACCACCAAACCACAAACTTTTCTCACCAAGACCATCCATCAAATACTAAAACTGCACCGCGACGGCACAGATAACAGTCCATAAAACCAGGAAGGCAATAAATAATAAGGTGAGAATATAACACACCCTCTTCAGTAATAAAAAAACAGTGTGTGTGTGTGTGTGTGTGTGTGTGTGTGTGTGTGAGGGAGAGTTGAGAGACGGAGACAGGGCATTGATGCTTTACAGAGATTTCCCCGCTGTCCTCTTTGTCTGTCAGGGTGAATGTGATGATTTACCCTTTCAACCCTCTACATTACGAGTAAATAACTCGCATATGCGACTAAATCGTCACTCTGGCGACTAAATGATGTCTAATATTAGCCAATTGCTAATAAATTCTCAGATTTTACTCGCCAGTGTGTGAGTTGGAGGCTAAGTATAAGTTTAGCACAGATATCGCTGCGTATGAGAGCAGATGTGTTCGCCCTGTGGCGACGGGGGTGAAACCCGCGTCAGAGGGAGGGCACTAACCTTGCTCTTTTATCTCCCGCTGGCAGCGTGTTGGGATCATGACGTTCGTTCTGATGTATCGATCGGTGGGTCGAGCACCTCACCGTGTGCTCGGCCCCCTCGCAAGCCTCTGTAAACACTTAAATCCAGCCGATCAATGCGGCTCATTCAACCTGTGGCATTGAGACGCTCGCTCACACACGCGGTGAATCCCAAACGCACACACACATATTGACACGGCCCGCAAACAAATTAGAGATAGAAAGGCCCTGCAGAATGACAAAAGCATCGGTATGAAAAATCTGCTTTTCGCTAAATGAGCTTTGTGGAGAAACAGAGAGATGAGAAAAAGACTGAGAGAGTGGTGGGCGAGGTAGACAGCCAGAGAGAGACAGACAGACAGGGGAGAAAAAGATAAATCGATTGGTGATCCAGGTAATCTGTGGGTATGTCCCGGTGTTTGCACTGGTGACATTGCAGCAGAGGCACACCGGAGAGATCAATGAGCCTCCTATTGTTCTTCTGTAATCCTTAACTATCCATAAGTAATTAACCTTCACATGAGAGGACAGGAAATAAATAAGGAAGGGAGGGGAAGGCTACCGGGTGGAGGGAGAATAGCAATGAGGACAAGAGCTGGAGAGTCTATTTCCCTCCCTGTCTGTCTCTCTTTATCTGTCTGTCTTCATCTCTCCCTCTATCTATACATCTATCTATTTATAGACAGATAGAACGACAGAGTGATAGATGGATAGAATGAGTGACAGAACATTCGATAGAACGATAGATGGAACAACATAAAGAATGACAAAATGAAAGATGAACAGAGAGAATGCTAAAAAGATAGATAGAAAGAGAACGATATAACTTTAGACTGAATAAACAGAAAGATAGATAAACAGAACAGTAGATAGAGCGATAGAGAGATATAACTATATAATAACAGAACAATAGATATCATAGAACGATAGATAGATAGAACGACAGACAGACAGATAGCCTCCATCTATCCTTCTGTCCATCACATTATCTGTCTCTCTCTCTGACCGTCTGCCCATCTTATTACCATCTCTCTGTTTCTGTCTGCCACTCTTTCCATCTGTCTCCCTCTTTCACCATTTGTCTCTCTCTCTCACTGTCTTTCTTTCAGAGTTTCTTTCATAGATAATTGATCTTCTGTATTTTTGAGTCTGACATTTTCACAGGATATTGTCAGTTTGTTTACATTTACACAACCATTTCCCAAGCATCATCTGTCAGATACTGGCCTGTCTGCATCTCCATGGCTCTGGCATATCATACACGTCAGTGCACTATTAGCGAAGCAAACTGATGTGCTCAACAAAAAGGACACATTCAGAGAGGTGTATTATCAGTCAAGCGGACCAACTGATCCATGTGGAAGGTCATTAGACACTTACCCACGAATTCAGAGAGGAAGACCACAAAAAAGGGAGTGACCAGGTCATTAATGCCCTGCACGTATCCACTAGCGGGGTGACGGATGGCCCAGATGAACAGAATCCGCTCAAACACCTGAAAAACAAGACAATCCCTTTCACTGATTAACAAAAATGATTCATTTCTCGTAACAACTGTGATTGTTGTGGAGACTTTTGACTTTTAATTGATGTTGCTTAATTCACTCTCCACAGACCAACTGGCTTGTATTTTCAAACGCAGCTGCATTTTAAGTGCAAGTTCCTTGTGGTTTATGGGTTACAAGTGTTGCACACTCCTAAGTTAAAAACACCACAGCACCTCCTGCTGGTAAGCATCCAACGACACAAAGCTCAGTTAAACCAACTCGTGCTGGCAACACCTATCCAGAGATCATCATCAGCGAAATTAGACAAAAATATTCAGTGGAGACGGGTTTTTTTCTGATGATTTTTTTTCTGATGATACATCAGGTCAAATAAAATAAAATGTTTATACATTTATGTGCAAATATTTGAATTCAATAAAATGTTAATTTTGTTAACTAAAATTATATGACATTTTATTAGGTAAAATGGAATAAAATTATTTATAAATAGAAAAATATTTTTTTTCTCCAGAAGTGTATAATTTTTGTCTGTTATTTATTTATTTTATTTTTTGTCTGTTATTTAACTTTACCTATCTATTTATCTATCTATCTATATATATATATATATATATATATACAAACAAAATATCTATATAAGATGTAATACAAAAACAACAAAAAACTATGAATATAAACAAAAGTACGTAAAAACAAACACTGATAAGGAACGGAATTTTTTCTTGAGTGAATCTCATGAAACCTTTCAAGAATATGTCCTGGTCATACTTCACCCCAAAATGAAAGAAAGACAAACTATATTTTGTATCAAGTTATTATTTACATGAGAACTGGAAGAAAAATGTGCTTAAAAGTCATTGTTTAAATGCACTGCAACGATGAAATGTTTTGCATTACAGTAATGGTGTATTGTCATTTACGCCAGTTAAAAAAACAAAAACAAAAAAACAACAACATCATATTACATTAATTAGATTCTACTGAAAATCACCACTGAGGAAAATGGAAATGGATACTAAAAACACTCTTATGAGTAATGATAATTTGGGACAAAATATGCTTGTCTCTAAAAACAAAAAACTATGAATATAAACAAAAGTACGCAAAAATAAACACTGATAAAGAAAGGAATAGTAAGCTCTTTTCTTAAGTGAATCTCATTAAATATTTCAAGAATATGTCTTCATCATATTTCATCCCAAAGTTAAAAGAAAGACAAATTATATTTTATATTTTAAGGTATATTTCCTCAATCACCACTGAGAAAATGGGGGGAAAAACCTCAGATGTATATACACACACACACATACATTCATACATACATACATATATATACATATACATATATATATATATATATATATATATTGTTGTGCCTGTTGTGTGAGATCAGACGTCTGTATGACGCTGGTGGGTCTGTCACAGGTGCGCTTTGCAACGAGACTCAGGTGTTGCCGCTTCACTTACCTCTTGCACCAGCGGTTGCTGGAACAAAGGAATCAAAGGGTTTGTCCTCGGGATATCGATGTGAATCTATGGAAAGACACACACAGGTGTATACAGGTAAGCTCAAATGCACACCCACACAAACACAAACCAGTTACCGAATCAGCGTGTCAGGAACACAGGTTTTAAGAGATTAAATCAATATGGCCCAACAGCACTAAATTGAGTTACATGTGCCTTTTCCCTTCCAGTAAATGGAAGAAAACCATCAGGGCCCAAACTGCACACGCTATCGATCTGGTTTCATAACAAGCTATACACAAAACCTGCATGAATTCACTTGGAAAGCGGACAGCGCAGCGTCCAGCCGCACATACAGGTGGCGACCCTTCTGTTTCATCCGGTTCTCTCTTATTTTCTTCCCTCTTTCTATTTCTACTTCCAACTTATGTTTGAAGAAATGGCTTTGTAGTAATGCAGGTCACTTGAAGGCCACCGAAGTGCGGTTCGCTCGTATTCACCGCCATTCCTCGCCCTCTCAGACTGTGACCACACTAAAAGGTCATTTAGTGTTTCTGCCCAGACAGCCAGGGGCCAGTCCAACGGTTCTGTATGACCATATAAATCCTTTTAAAGGTCTGTGTCCGATTTGTATTGCAGTAGACGAAATGAGGGGCTGGGAGCCAGCAAGCCCTAAGGAACCGGACAAGAGAGGAGAGAAGGCAGCGCATAGCAATCGACTACCAGTCCTGCACCATTAACCTGAGTTTTACAGCCCATAAGAATATTGATCCCGGCCCCCTTCTTCCCCATTAATAACACGCAGGACAAAATCTGGCGTATTACTGTTATAGCTTTCTAGAAGCAGGTGTAACCTTGACTGACTCACTGTAGAGATGATGAGGTTCCTCAACAGATTGGCGTCTGGTGTAGCCTAGTGGTTAAAGGGATGGCTCACCCAAAAATCATCCTTAAATCAAAAATCTAAAACATTTAGGTTTCAAAGAAAAGATGCAAAAGCCTTGTGCACTACATAACGAGTCTTCTGAGGTCATACGATGAGGTCTGTGTTAGGAACAGACTGAAATTTACAATGGCTGCTGCAAATTCAGCTTTGCATCACAGGAATAAATTACATTTTAATATATTAAAATAGAAAAGCGCTGTTTTACATTGTAATAATATTTCACAGTATTTTTGACTGATTAAATGCAGCCATGATGAGCATAAGGTTTTTACCGACCCCAAATGGAAGTTTTTTTCAGGGTTTTTTCAAATCAACCAGTCTGTCTTAAAGAAGCCCTGTCCAATTAAGCAGGTTTTACTGTCATGTTCACAAAACACAAATCAGATGTGTTTTGAGGGATGTATGAACACTGCAATGCATCCCTGTAATAGCAAAACGAACAGACATTCAACAAATAATATTTGGAATTTAAAAACATAATATCTGTAATCTTGCAAACTATCTTACGAGATCCTTTTCCACTGAAATTCACCCATGCATTATCTGTTTTCATGCCATAACAGACAGTAGGTTTACATATTATGATGTTTTCCAACTAACAACCTGGATTTAAACAAATATTCTGGGTTGCTTTCAACATAATGTCTATGGACGGCATTCGTGACATGCTGTCCATTAGAACAGACAATGCATTTCCTGTTTACGCGCTGTTTGTAATAACTGACACCATGACGGTACGTACATTGCCATTAGATATAATAATGTACACAATAAACTTGAATAAAAAAATTCCATAAAATCCATACCTAACATTAAGACCTCAAAACAAAACAACATTGAAACAAAATTCAATACTTTGAAAATTTAAAGGTACTTCAAACAACTGTAATGGAACCGTTAAATATTTGGATATTAATTATGGAACACTGAGTCAAATGTCTGGTTACTCCTCAAGCCTGCTTTGTAAGCAAGACTTGTGGATTGATGAAGGTGCTCTCTTACTCTTAGAAATTGTGTAGAAAGGATCAGAAATGAATTGGTCGATTTCAGCCAACTCTTCCACTTTTCTATTCAGAACATAATCAGAAGCAGGCCGGGTTGAGTTTTACCTGTCTGTAAGTGTCTCTGTGATTCTCATCTGTTGTGGAGTGGTAATACTGCTCGATGAAGCCAAAATACTCCTCCCTCTTCCTCTGGAGAACCAGATCCCTTCGTTCCCTATTGGCTGGAAGATAGCCCTGAGAGAAAGCACATGGAAAGAAGTAAATACAAATTTAATAGCGTTCAGAAAAGAACTTTTTTTAAAATTTTTTTTACAGTTTTGCTGCTTAATATTTTTGTGGAAACCGTGATAATGTATTTTAAGATTCTTTGATGAATAGAAAGGTCAGAAGAACAGCATTTATTTGGAATCTTTGAAAAATAAATAAATTATCACTTTTGATCCATTTATTGAACTGTAGCTTTGGGTCCCTACTTCAATGCAAGTCTATGGGTTTTTCACCCATTATATAGCCCATTAGGGCAAAATTTGCCTGTTATATTGTCCACCAAGAAAACTTTGTAATTCAGATTGTATAAAGTAATTGCTTCAATAATAGTATAGTATGAGCAATAATAATAGTGATGCTTGCCTTAGCAAACACCACTAACTAAGAAACACAGAACACAAACCTCAGATCTCAAAAGTCAAGAAAAAAAAAAAATCTACAACTCTGGGAGAAACTTCTAATCGTCTAGCTACTAAACTAACACTCAGAAAGGATGCGATTGTGCTAGTACATACTTAGTAACTACAGATGATTCCCTAAAGAGCAGTCAACAAGAGCAGGCTATTTGTAGAGCAGACGTGGAAGTGTGGAACTGTCAGTTAGACGTTGTCATGACATCATGTTTCTGATAATGGTGTTTTTGAAAGTGCCTTCCCCTCCCATTGTTTCTCAACTCTTGTTTTAATGAGCACACACAGAGTTGCCAAGCGCTTGAACACATAAATGATAACGTACATTCAGAATCCGACTCGATGCAGCTCACGTCTGTTGCTTCAGGCGAATAAGAAGTGCACAAACTCTGCTCGTTTGGTTTCACCCCATCATCGGCCCTTCGAAACTTTAATAATGGCTATTAAATTCCACGCTGAAAATTTAAATGATCTTAAAACGGCTTTCCAATGCGATTCTGAGAAGGCCTTGGTGAGGTTTGTGTGCTGTAAAACCTGGATCGAAGCTAGAAACATTCACTTTGGTGACATAACACAAACATGATGTGGACCAATAAAAACAAAAAGCAAGAGTTGCTCTTTACAATCACAATTTGAATATGAAAAGCGGAGACGAAACATTTAGTTTTTTGGCACATTAGCATTCATTTTGCACGCGTGTCTACCTCGGTAACTTTATACATATGGAATTATTCTGTCTAATCCCCCAGCAAACATTGCATGAAGCAGTAAAAGCTTGGAGGAGCTGGGTCGGGGTGGGGATTTGCTTGTACAGCTTAGCCTGGAGGTGTGTGTTATTGACTGTGTAAGCATGCACCAGAAATGTAAATGAGGCTTGTAAAGCAGTCCCCGAACATCCACACACATACAGCCACAACACACACTCTACCCCTCCGATGATGACAGTCACAATTCTGCTGACATTAAGTGCTCAGCAAAACCAATATTGCAAAACAAATCCATAACACACATTAAACTGAAAGTGGCATGGAATTATATATATATTTTCCTTGATAAATGGTTTATTTTATTACAGTATTTTCTATTATTCATTCAAATGAATATCCATTTGGCTTGATTTCAAATAAGTAATTTCAAGAAGTAGTTTAAAACAGAATTAATTATTTTCCCAATGAAAACGGATATATTAAGATAATATAATAATAATAATATTAATATAAAGTATTGGAAGGAATTGAAACCGTGGCCTAGAGGTTAGGGCATGTATGATGGTGCCTGTGAACAATGGGAGTTCAAATTCAGCTCGCAACATATTTCAGTCCAATTCTTCCCTCTTTTCACATCGTTTCTTGTCCTCTCACTGCTGTTTGTTTAAATAAAATGCAAAAATAGAAATGAAATAAACAACAGTATAAGTAAATACTTACCGATAAGAGTCTCCAGGTGACTGGTCGAACTTCACGAGGGATTCCCGACCAGCTATGCTTCCGTAACTCCTCTGAATGAACAAAATACAGTGCAGAGTTAATCTAAAATGAAAAATACTTCAACAGCACAGTGAAACTGGCATCTTCTGCGATGTTGTTTCATAGCTACACTGGTGAACAGCTGCTTTTAATACTCAACTTGATGACACAATCATACTGCAGTTTGTACCCAAAAGTACAATGTAAAAAAAAAAAACCTGCAGGAGCAGGAGGAGGGGGTTGGAATTAAAGTATATGGACCGAGCCTTAATCAGCAGTTAAAACATGCAATAAGAATTTGTTCATATGCTGTGATAGAAAATCTAGAAAATCATGTTTTAAATCAAGTCACCGGTCTTCACAGGACCGGTGACACTCTAACTTATAGTTCAATCAACATAATCAATAAACAATTACTTTTAATTAGCAAACACATTCAGTTTTCACAACCATGCCACCTTGAATTATGGCAACTCCAATAAGACAGCAAGCCATAGCTGCACATTGATTTTAAAAGTAATGGCTGGGAAGTTCACGATTCATAGGTGATGGAGCAACGGCTTGGGATGTCAACATGATGTTTGGAGAGCACATTTAGACAAACAGCTTAAAAGCATCTGTGTCGTGGCCTGCTGTCATGTTTTACCTGTGGCGCTCAAGTGAACTATGCTCGTTCGAACTTGGCTTTCATTATTTCACAATTCTGTTTATCTCCTAATGCACCATAAAAATAATTTTCTTAATCAGAATTGGTCTTGTTTTCCAGTAAAATCTATAAACATCCTTACAACAAGATATATTTACTCGAGAAGGAAAATTGCATAAGATATCAAGACTTGTTTTCAGGGAAAATATCCTGAAATAAGTTGATATTTCTTATCACATTGTCGGTTTCTTGTTAGAAGTATAAATCTCAAATTATGATAGATCTATGCTTAAAAGAAGAGAAAATATTTGCAGATGGGTAAGAAAAATAAACTTAATTCAAGACATATTATTAAGCAGGAGTTTTATAATATACTGTATATGTTTAATAATACATTATGAATGAGTTTTATATCGTACACAGTTTTGCTTCTCAAGTGAATTTATTTTGTTTGACTGGAAAACAAGATACAAATACTGATTAAGAAAATGATTTCGGAGTTTATTTCCTTATGATTTTCTACTATGTCTCTGAATAAAAATATATTAATTTCACAAAATGCTGTAAGTACCCTTTACTTTGGAGATTTGGGATATGAGATTTGAAATACTTTGGACAAATGAACACAGATAATTAAAATGTCACAAAGAAAAACTATTTTCCAAGAACAATAAGCAATTCCACAGTGAAGTATGGTAATTGTTTTTTTTTTTATTATTACAATTCGATTTCTTCAGAAAATTTGTCCTTGCAAACGTGCTATGATATGTGTTGCTATGCGGTTGCTAGGGTATTCTGTGGGGTTGCTAGGTGGTTTCATACCAGCACCAAGCCAAAATAGCCCCAAGGCTCCAATCACTTACAAAAGCAGATGTCTCCTTAACACAAAGTATCAGTAAACAAATCAGGACGAGTTACTTGCTAAAGAGCGACTGATCGTGATTATGACTCCTGCCTTTGCTATAACCACTATAAAAGAATAAAAGTCTATTATATTGTACTTTCGAGTCTTACAATAAAGAGCAAAGATAACTGTTGTCATGACAACCAGATGAATCATAGTGAATTTGAACAATTCTCTTTGTCTGCTCCTTTTATTTATTAAATTTTTTTGAACGGAGCTTTTCAACTCCACCACTCTCAATTACTTATATTGTCATTGTTATGAAGTAAACATTAGTTTGCAGGTGGATGCCATTAGACCAGATTCCATCAATATGTCCAGATGCTGAAGTCTACACCACTTTTTAAGGATTGTTTTTGCAAACTCCCGCCAAGCCCTCTGGGTCATTGTGATCAGCGAATGCAAAACCGCTTTTCACAACGTCTATGAAAACGTAAAGACTTGCTGAGAAACATCTGGTGAGATCGCTCCTGGGTCGTTTTTGAGTTAGAACAAACACGAAACTGATATCCAAGCGCTCCTAAAATACTAATGGCATTGGACACCTGCCAACTGTCATATTATAGCAGAATGATGAAAGATCTCAGAAGCTATTATGAACTCAGAATACTGTGCAGGGAAGCCCCTCCAACTATATCACAAGCACATTTTTCATAAGGCGCTGTGAAAGAAGTGCATAAGCATTATTTTCCCCTCCAATGACTGATGGTTCTCATTCCTGTGTGATTTCAGCCTGTCGCTCAGAAAGCTCAGAGCCTGCGGAGGCTGAAACTTAGTTATAAGGCAAATAATAGTGAGTCTCTTTGATAACATCATTATAGCATCAGTGGCACAAATGAGCGAAGGCAGACACAGAACTTGTTTTTGTTCCGCCAGCTCGCAGGTGCACTCGAAGAGACGATTGGTTGGAGAACGTGGGGAGAACAGAAGGGCCTCTCAGCATGAAATCGGGAAGACTAGGATAACATCATGGACGGTTTTTATCCATTCTTCCATCCCACACTGTCTCACCTGGCAAAGAGATTCAGCTAGAGGCGGAAAAACAGGCGAGAGAATGAGGTGTGAACACATGTGAGGGTTTTGCGGCTTTCTGTTTTGAGATGGTCCCTGATGGATGGGCTTTAATATCTTATTCAAGTAACCCACAAGTGGCCACTTTTATAATCTGCTTAAAACAGACCTTATCCCTTGTTTTCCTTTTAATGCTAGCACAAATCTCTGATCGTTTGTTTTAAAGCTTACCCAGGTCTGTGTTGGGACTTGCAAGTAGCTGCTTGAATTTATCCAATCGAGTCTTCTCTCTCACCGTCATAGGCGGAGCTCCTGAGCTATTTTGGTCCGAAATGCGGGCAACCAATGGAATGACGGGCCGTACAGGAAGTGAATGCTGTTTCTGCAGAGTACTGCGAGCTAAACAGGACAGAAAAATACATATATTAAGCATTAATATTAAAATATATTTTATAAAAAATATTTAAAAAATTATATATGTATATAATCATATATAAATTATTATATATGATTATATGTTAATATTTTTTTTTTCAATCAAGGTACTATTAAATAAATAAAAACATAATAATTTAATAATAATTTAATATGGATATATATCATAAACACACCCTTTTTTATACAGTTTTTTCCTTAATTATTTTTGGTTGTTTCATTAAAATATCCTTTAATTCAGTCAATATTTTGTCATGTCATATTAATAAATTTTAATCCATTTTACTTAAAATAATGTTTTTTTTTTTGTTTGTTTGTCAAATAGACAAAAATAACATTTTCTTTTGTTGACAAGAATTACTCTTCCTATGGTCTCATTCATGAAACATGAGCAACACAAATGTTCAATTATGATGAGGATAATAAACTCAAGCTAGCTTTCTTTAAAGGTTAGGCATGGCCAAAATGTTACTTGTTTTACCAACCCTTATCTGAAAATTTTAGACCTCGTTTGGTTGGAAGTATCTACTTGCAAGCAGCCTTTGAATGGACGGTCAAAAAGTAATTTATACAACCATACCAGCCTTATAACAAACAGTAAAGTAGGCGGAAAAACCCCACATCTGATACACCTTGATGATTTTATATGCATTTTACTCCTTACAATGGTGCAGCTTAAAAACAACAGCTACCAGCATACCTGCATTAACATTCAGCTGAGCGTCGCTACAGGACTTTATCACCCTGCCATTGGCTGGACCGCTTTCGTCGTCCAGTCGATCTAGAACGGGGTTTGTGCTGATTGATTCCTGCCTGTCCAGTGGGCGGGGCAGTGACTCTGTGTCCTCTGGGGCTTTGATGAGTTTGACGCAGGACGTATGAGGCATGGATCGTGATTGGACAGGTGAAGATGAGGGCTGTTTGAGACTAAACATACCATCATCCTCTTCATCATCAATGTCCCATGCATCATTGGTGCTCCGAGCAAATTCGTGGAAAGTTGAAGGTTTTTTGGATTTGGTGTACAAACTGCTGGCCTTTGGAGTATCTTTTAATCTGTAGGGAAACAAATAAAGAGCTTTTTGAAAATGGCAATATTGCACACACTCTATAACATATGAACTGGTTACAGTTAGAAAGGATCATGCAAGACAAATAAACAAAAAAAGTTGCAAAAGGTTTATGCAAATCTTGCACTCAAACATGTTCAGATGGATTCATACCACAACTGAAAGGCAGAAAACATAAAGAGTAAAGCACAAATAACTGAAAAACAAATGGCTGATTTGCCCACAGACAGTCGACAGCTAGCAGCAACACTTACAGACGGTGTCTGCGTGGGTCCAGAGGAGGGTGCTGTGCTCCATATACTGGCTGCAAGCTAAGAAAAACAAAAGCTGATGTGTGCTATAAAGAGAGTCAGAAACAGGACTGGATGATCCTGAATATTTTCAGCCTTATCATAAGACAGTACCTGACATACATCTCTCAATATTTACGTATTTACAGTCTCATGCTGTTCCAAAACCGTATGACTTTCCTTCTTCTATGGAATAAAAAAGGTAAAAATCTAAGGAATATCCTGGCCACTTTTCCATGTAAAGAAAGGTTGACTGGGAACATCAACCTTTAAAATGAGATAAAAGGCACCATAAAAGTACAACAAAGCTTTAAATCAGAAGTCAGAGTCACATAGTGATAGTGAAACTAGGTTAATGGCACAGGTGTTTTCATGTCAGAATACTAACTTATTGCATTCCACATAGGGCTGGACGATATGACCAAAATTGATATAACGATATATTTCTTAATTTCGGTCGATACAATATAATTCCTCAGATAAAATGAAAATGTCATTGAAACTTTTCTGAAGACAGTCGGTTCCCTTCACAGATACATTTATATAAAACACCCGCGACATTTTTTGATTTTGAAACGTGCAGTGCTCATGTTTATTCAACGAAGTCAAACGGCACAAATAAATAAATGTATGGGAAACCCTGGTAATGTATATCGAAATATCGGAAATGTGTTTAAAAATCATATCACCGTTATTGAAAAAAATTATATCGCGATACATATTGATATTGAATTATTGTCCAGCCCTAATTCCACATAATATAGCCCATGCAACAGTTTCAGATAGTAGTTAGTAGCTACATTACATTACATACACTACCATTTAAAAAAAAAATTTGGGGGGCGGATACTATTTTTATTCACAAGGATTCATTAATTTGAGCAAAAGTGGATTGGTTAGGGTTAAGTTTAAACCTGAGTGGTGTAGACCATTAAGGAAACAAATCAGATCATGAATCACAGCAGTCACATAGAAATGGAAAGTCAATTTAAATACATTGTATTATGAGGTACAGAGTGCTAGGTATTACTATTTTGGACGTTTGGCAAATAATCATACATAAAAGTTGCATACTATTAGGGCTGTACGATAAATCGAAATGGAATCGAGATCGCCGATTACAGAACCGACATTACTAACAAAATGCGCATGACAATCGCATTCGATTAATCGTGCAGCCCTACATACTATGAACAGAATATATAATACATACTGCAGAAACAGTAAGAATATGATTGCATTATTCCAAACACTGCCTCTAGAAAAAAGCAACAACCAAATAAAAGTTGCATTAAAATCATTGTGACATTTGTATACTGCAAATATACTCTGAATAATCAATATAACCCCCAGCCCTAGTCAGAAACACAAAGCGAAAAACAAGTATCTAGAGATGCAGAGGTAGTTTAAAACAATTCCAGAGCAGGAGGATAGACCTGCTAGTGCTTGTTGACAGCAAAAAATACATCTCAAATTAAAAGCCAAGCACACTGCTGGGTCCTCCGCATCACTACAACATATAAATATTAATCTCTACAATATTAGAGGCTATTGTGAGTTACTGTGCAATATCCTGCATAATGCTGAGAGAAGTTCAAACACTGCAGTGCTAAGCAGAATTTTTACGGGCAACACAGGGCCATAGGTGTGGTCATATTGTTGAAAGGAAAATTAACAGTATGGTTGTTTACAAGGCCCTTTTCTGTGAAATCAACACAATACTAAATGCATTATGTGCAAATGGGACCACATAATAATTGGCAAAAGCACAATGCAGCTGAAATACGGCTCATCAATTTTCATGCGAGTAGAAAAGAAAAGGTAAATTACTTCTAGATATGTAAGCAAGCTGCTCGCATTTGCATTAAATATTGGGCTGTGAGCAAGGAGTGTGTTTGAGTGTGTGAGCAGTTTCCCGGAGGGCAGCCTTATCTTAAATGTATGCCATCCCTTCTGTTACACACACACACACACACACACACAGAAGTCTTTTCCACACTATAATCTACATACAAAAGCTAACAGAGTGGGAAAACTGTCAATGTAATTAATAATTTCCAGTGAGAATTTCATTAACATGCTATTATAATGAATCAAACAGGTCTATAATTCAGTTATCAACTAACATGAAGACACACTCTGTGAATGAACACCTTTTCGTGTGCCTTTCTACAGCTGTAGGTCATGTTATTTTGACTAGGATGACACCAAGGTTGTGTGGAGGCATCTAGTATCACTTTTGCATGCTCTGTCCCTTCTGTTAAATGAGATAAATGGTGGGAAAGTGGCCACACCTCTCGTCCACTCATGTTACAGCCGGATCACACCCACTGCGCTTCCTCCAAATGCCGCCTATTCACCCGAACAAGCAACTCAAACAGTCTGGCATCACAACCACACCCAAACAATAACGGCTGCTTCGGTTCAACCTGTTCATCTTTCCCAGAGGGGAATCCCATCCATATTTAACATCATCTTCATTGTGCACTGCTCATAATGCAGCAATTTTCTGAAGGTAGGAGACCATGAAAACTATAGTAAAACTTTCACATTTCAATTTTCAGAGACAAAGAACTGTTAAAAGAGAATTGCTTCCAAAAAAAAAAAGCATGACCTTTTGTCAATGGATAAGCCATTAAAGTTCAGGAATTTGTAATTTATTTTAAAAAGATTGTGAGACCAACATCACCATATTATTATTTTATTTTTTTAAATTTCTTTTAATTTTTTTATTACGTTACATTTCAAAAGTTTGGGGTCAGTATAATTATTTTAAAGAAATGTATACTTTTATTCAGCAAGGTCACAATAATTTGATTTTAAAAAATGACTGATTACTTTGATTTAAAAAAATGAATGATTTATAAAAAATAAAGACATTTATAATGTACAAAAGATTTCTATTTTAAATATATGCTGTTCTTTTGAACTTCGTATTCATCAAAGAACACTGAAAAAAAAATTGAATCATAAGAAATGTTTCTTGAGCAGAAAATCAGCATATAAACCTTATTCAGGTAGGTTAGATGCCATATTGAATTTAACGAAAGAAAACGAGGCTGTAAGAGATAGACTTACAGTCTTTACAATAGTATGCATTGTATAAAGGTCATAGATTGCGTAATTTTCAATCTCAGCATATAAAACTTTTTCAGAAAGACGTTTCGTCAGGTGAATGTTTACATTTTATAAACACTTTTTTTAATTGAAATAATATTTCACAATATAACAGATTATATTATATTGAACACCAAATCAGCATAATATAATGATTTCTAAAGGATCATGTGACACTGAAGACTGAAATGGCTGCTGTATTTTAAAATACAGTTTTAAAATATAATTTTTTTTTTTAAACTGTAATAATAACTGTTCTGACTGTATTTTTGATTAAATAAATGCAGCCTTGGTGGAAATTTCCTTTTTCAAAAACATAAAATATCTTACTGACACCAAGCTTTTGAATGGTAACAAACATCAGTGTGTCAAAAAATAAATACATAAATAAATAAATTTCACTTTATTGTGTGTATACAACTTGCATAAAAATAAAGTAGTCCCCCTCCAATCCTGTAAAAGAGACTGAACAAGATCTAGGAGTAAAAAAGAACAAGATCTAAGAAGACAATGGCAAGTTAACAACATAAAACCTATTGGCAATAACTTCTAGATAATACAGAGATAATATTGAAATAACAGCAAATGATCTGGAACTTTAAAGGGGTCATATGATGCGATTTCAAGTTTTCCTTTCTCTTTGGAGTGTTACAAGCTGATTGTGCATAGATAAGATCCCTG